TGGGGATCCCACCCCCCCCTGCCCCCCCCCCACCCTCTCTATTGTGTAGTTGCGTTCTGCCTGGCTGGTAGACATGCTCACGTACTGATACTCATGATAATAATAAAACTTACTTAATTAGAAAATACCAGACATTTATATGTCCAGTATTTTCTCAATTTGTTTCCTGGACAGAAAGCTCAAATACCTGACTGTCGAGTTCAAAACCGGACACCTGGCATCCCTAGCCCCTGAGGGGGCACAGCCCCTCACCGTTCTGCCTGGCTGGTAGACATGCTCACGTACTGATACTCATGATAATAATAAAACTTACTTAATTAGAAAATACCAGACATTTATATGTCCAGTATTTTCTCAATTTGTTTCCTGGACAGAAAGCTCAAATACCTGACTGTCGAGTTCAAAACCGGACACCTGGCATCCCTAGCCCCTGAGGGGGCACAGCCCCTCACATTATCACACTTGGGCCCACCAAGAAGCAGGGGGGGAGAATGTGGGCAGCTGCCCCACTGATTTAAAAGAGCCCAGGGCTCCCGGCCACTGCTGCTGCTACTATGGCAGCACCCAGAGCCCCAGACTCTTTAAATTGCCACCCGAACCTTGGGTAGGACACCTGTTGAGGGAGGCTAGCCCAGTGTCCTGTACCTTTCACCCCATACTCCACCCCTTCTGGCAGTGCAGAGATGCCTCCCCCCATTTGCCCAAGGACCAAGAATCCTGTCAGCTGCCCTGATCGCACCCTTGTTGAAGACCAAAACACAATTTTCAAAAGTGATTTGGGATCCTCCATCATTTTCAAAACTTACTTAGGAGCCCCAAATCCCACCCCATTTGGGTATGTCCACACATCCCATGGGACCAAGCCCTTAGCCTGGGTCAATACAGCTGGGCTAATGTGGTTTGCACTAATGTTCTAAATATAGCTCTGGAGAAAGCATTTGGAAATTGTGGTTGGGGTGGAGCTCAAACTTCGAAGTGCATGGAGGGTACAACTTCGGAGCCTGAGTAACAACTACCATATGCTTCATGCTCAGCTATATTTAGTGTGTTAGCATAAGCCATGCCAGTCCAATTCTGTCAGCCCTTGCTGAGGGCCTTGTTTCCTCAGGCTGTTAGACATGCCCTTAAGGGCCAGATTTTCTAATGCATTTGGGGGCCTAAAGAGCAGCTAACAAGATTTTCAAAAGTGTGTAAGTAGGTGAGATGTCTAACTCCGAGTAGAGTTTGTCACCTGCTCTACATCTGAACTTTGTGACTACTCCCTTATTTAAAGGTTTTCTACAGGTTTGTTTTATACTCTCTGGGGGTATGTCTACACTACAAAGTTAATTCGAACTAACAGCCATTAGTTCGAATTAACTTTCATAGGTGCTACACATGCAAACTGCTAGTTCAAACTTAATTCGAACTAGCGGTGCGCTTAATTCAAACTAGGTAAACCTCATTCTATGAGGACTAATACCTAGTTTGAATTAAGTAGTTCGAAATAAGGGCCACTTAATTTGAACTAGTGGGAGGCTAGCTCTTCCCAGCTTGCCCTGGTGGCCACTCTGGGCACAACCAGGGAAATTCTTCTGCCCTCCTCCCGGCGCAGGCACCCTTAAAGGAGCACGGTCTGGCTACAGTGCCTGTGCCAGGTGCAAGCCTGCCAGCACCCAGCCAGCAGACCCTGCACCTGGCACGGCACGAGCCCGCCACCCGCTGCCACCCAGCCCTCCGCCTCTTCCCGGGACCAGGCTGGCAGCCCCCAGGAGCCTGCCCCGGGCCGCAACACAAGGATTGAACTCTCAGCACTGGGTTTAGCAGGCTCATGCGCAAACCACTGAGCTATCACACCCCCCAGGCTAATGTGGTTTGCACTAATGTTCTAAATATAGCTCTGGAGAAAGCACTTGGAAATTGTGGTTGGGGTGGAGCTCAAACTTCAAAGTGCATGGAGGGGATATCTTCAGAGCCTGAGTGACAACTACCATATGTTTCCTGCTCAGCTATATTTAGTGTGTTAGAATTGGACTGGCATGGCTTATGCTGTCAGCCCTTGCTGAGGGCCTTGTTACCTCAAGCTGTTAGACATGTCCTTAAGGGCCAGATTTTCTATGGAATTTGGGCCTAAAGAGCAGCTAACAAGATTTTCAAAAGTGTGTAAGCAGGTGAGATGTCTAACTCCAAGTGGAGTTTGTCACCTGCTCTACATCTGAACTTTGTGACCACACCCTTATTTAAAGGTTTTCTACGGGTTTGTTTTTTACTCTCTGGAGTTTGTGAGAACTCCCAATAGCTTCAAAACATTGCGCCATATCTTTAAATCCTTACTCAGGGTGTGGGCCTACTCTTGTTGAAAAGGAAACTGGAGAGGCAACCAAGGTCCATGATTTTTCTTTATTAAAATGTGACTACTAGAGTTTTTGTTTGGTCACTAAAGGCAAAGAAGCAGGACAGGCTGAGGACACATTGCAATTTGCCAGTGATTTTAGTGTAAAATGAGGAAACAACTGGCAACAAAAACAAGGGAATTTACTATGACTCTAAACTTGGCAGAATAATCAGGAAGTACAGATAATGTAAATGGCAGAATTAATCCTCAGACAGTGATGCAACTCAAGTACAGTCAGGGATTGATTTTGAAATTCCTTTAGCAGTGTCCAATAACAGTGCTGTAACTCAGTACTTCAGTAGATAAAGGAGATAACACATGAAGGGTATGTGTTCATTGAAGTGATCCTGGGATGATCATCACAAAGGTCTGAATACATGGGTTAGCCAGACCCCAAGTTACAAACATCCGTCATTCAAAAACAAGTAAGAGAGCACTTCAACCTCTCTCCACAGTCAGTAACTGACCTAAAAGTTGCCATACTTGAGCACAAAAGCTTAAACAGACTTCAGTGTGAAACTACAGAGCTGAAATTCATATGCAAACTTGACACTATCAGACTGGGTCTGAATAGGGAACACTGAATAGCGGCTAGCTGACTGCAAAGTGTGGTTTTCCCCCTTTTGGTATGTTTATCTTTTAATCAATTGTTGAGAGTGGGACACATCTACCCTGACCAAATTGGCCTCATTAGCACTGGTTCTCCGTATAGCCCTCCCTCATCTTTCCACATGGCTGTGTCTCGTCCTCTGTATAGTCCTCCCTCATCTTTCCACATGGCTGTGTCTAAGCCACTTTTCCAGAAAAACTTGCCAGCTGTCACACTGGCCACTTGAATTTCCGCAAAAGACCGCAAAAGCAGCTGATTTTGCGGAAAAACTTGCCAGGTGTCTACACTGGCCGCTTGAATTTCCGCAAGAACACTGAAGATCTCATGTAAGATTGTCAGTGTTCTTGCAGAAATACTATGCTGCTCCCATTCGGGCAAAAGCCCTATTGTGCAAATCATTTGCACAAGAGGGCCAGTGTAGACAGCACAGTACTGTTTTGCACAAAAAAGCTCCGATGGCTAAATGTCAATCGGAGCTTTTTTGCACAAAAGCGCATCTAGATTGGCACGGACACTTTTCCGCAAAAAGTACTTTTGCGGAAAAGCGTCCGTGCCAATCTAGGCTTTTGTGGAAAAGTGTCCGTGCCAATCTAGATGCTCTGTTCCGAAAATGCTTTTAACGGAACACTTTTCCAGTCTAGACGTAGCCCTTGTGTATATATTCCTGCCAAACTGTACTTTCCTCTTCATGCATCCAATGAAGTGGTCTTCAGTCCATGAAAGCTTATGCCCAAATAAATGGATTCATCTTTAAGGAGCCATGGAACAACTCATTCCTTTTTTTTTTTAAACAAACTAACATGGCCACCCCTCTGAAACTTTCACTGGTTCTGCACTCCCCCCATATATCACTAGGACCTCTGGAGATATCACCCATAGTCCTTTGTGCTACAGTAAGCTGAGCCACTCTATCATTCTTTCCCCGGAAGTTGTAAGAGAATTTGTCTGCCCTTCTCAGCACATGGGAAGGCATTGGAGGAATATGAGGTGTGGCAAGGTCCTCACCCAGGCCCCTCATCCTGGGATCCCTTCTTGGTCCACAAATCAACCTGAGACCCTTTATGGTGCAGTCACCTATGCCTTTTACTGTCCATGCCAATTTCCCACCACCTTTTAACCACAAAACTTTTTTTTGTTCACAACAAAAACTTAGCTAATCTCTCCTTCTGGCTGGGGAAGCACTCTTTTTTTTTTTTTGTTCACAACAAAAACTCAGCTAGACTCTCCTTCTGGCTGGGGAAGCACTCTTTAGCTCCTCCCCCTCTGGCTACCTTATCTAGGCCGCTGGCTAATGAGGCCCACAGCTGTTTCCCATTAGTCCCTTAGGCATGGGCCTGGCTTCTATTGCCATTTTCAGCCAGGCTGTAGTAGCAGAGCTCTGGCTTAACCAGCAGTCTGTCACGCAGGGCTCCGATTTAGTCTGTACCCTCACTGCCAGCAAAGCAGGTTACAAACCCACATGAAAGCAAACTCCAGGTTCTAGCTCATACCTACAGCCACGTATACTAGCCCAGTTTGAAAGTACCACTAAATTTGAATCAGAAGGGCAACACTAAATTAAAAGCCTGGGCCAATTCTGCAGTGAAAACCTCAAAAGGTGGCAGGACAGCAGATAGTCTTCCATCTTAGTTCTCAACAGCACCCTTTCTTTCTTCATCTGCTACACTCTCTCAAAAGCTCTTTTCAGGTCCTTCATTAATTATGACTTCAGAATGCCACTACCAAATATCATTGTAGCTGACAAACTCTCCTATGGATGAAAAAGCTATCCTGTTAAATATCAGTATTTTATCATAATCAGTTCATAGATGACGACAAAGATTACATGTTAGGAATCAAAAGCAATTTTGCTATCACACCTAAAGAAATGCATATCAATTACTAATTTCCTCCCACCAAATACTTATATCTGCCCTCCCAGTTTCCCTCTTCAGTATGTTTCTAAAAATTGCTTAGCATGTATACAGCCAGCCGTCCAATGGTAATATCAATTACTAATTTCCTCCCACCAGATACTTATATCTACCCTCCCAATTTCCCTCTTCAGTATGTTTCTAAAAATTGCTTAGCATGTATACAGCCAGCCGTCCAATGGTGGCTTAAATAATTTATTTGAATTCAAAGGAAATACCTCACTCATCTAGAACGTAGAGATAATTTCTACATGCCACTCTCCCCAGAGAATCCAGTGCTTCTGGTGGGAAGTGGAAGGAATGTTGCCAGTGTACGTTGCACCCCAGTAATCCCCAGCTAGTGTCTGTTACCTTGGAGACCAATGACAGAGCAGGCCCAACACAGTGGCTGTGTCTAGACTGGCAAGTTTTTCCACAAAATCATCTGCTTTTGCAGAAAAACTTGCCAGCTGTCTACAATGGCTGCTTGAATTTTGGCAAAAGCACTGACGATCTCATGTAAGATTGTCAGTGCTTTTGCGGAAATACTATGCTGCTCCCATTCGGGCAAAAGTCTTTTTCCGCAAAACTTTTGCGCAAAAGGGCCAGTGTAGACAGCAGAGATTTGTTTTCCGCAAAAAAGCCCCGATTGTGAAAATGACGATCGGGGCTTTTTTGCGGAAAAGCGCGTCTAGATTGGCCACGGATGCTTTTCTGCAAAAAGTGCTTTTGCGGAAAAGCATCCTGCCAATCTAGACACGCTTTTCTGAAAATGCTTTTAACGGAAAACTTTTCCATTTAATGCATTTCCAGAAAATCATGCCAGTGTAGACGAAGCCAGAGGGTTTGGGGCCTGGCAAAAAAATTCAGGAACTATTACTGACTTACTGATTAATCTTCTCTCAACTCCTCTCAGCAGAATTTGCTCATAGTACAGAATCTGACCATCAATGTGCTTTCTCTTATTGTTAAAAAAAACCCACCCTTCATCCAAGTAACAGATTCCAGTGGCTGTTACAGAACCTTATTTTCTCTTATGTCTCCTGTCAACCTTTTCAGATCACACAATCTCAGCCACAGATATTTCCATATCACTGAGATTGGCAAACGGACAGGACAGGTGCTCTGGTCGCGTTGAAGTCTATTACAATGGAAGCTGGGGAACAGTCTGTGACGATGCCTGGGACATAGCAGATGCACAGGTTGTGTGCAGACAGCTCGGATGTGGCCAGGCCACTGAGGCCCCCATGAATGCCCGCTTTGGTGAAGGCTCCGGAAGTATTCTCCTGGATGACGTGCAGTGCACAGGGAATGAATCCTTTCTGTGGCAGTGCTCACACCAGGGGTGGGGAAGACATAACTGTGTCCACCGTGAGGATGCCAGTGTCATCTGCTCAGGTACTCCCATTGCTATTGCTATCACATCCATTATATTGAGTAACATTCACACCCAGTGGCATGGGAACAGTTTTGAAACTGGGGGTGCTAACACCACCCTCTTTACTCCTGTCCTCCCTCTTCCTCTCTGCCCCCCAGCCGAGGCTGGGAGCAAGCTCCAATGTGTGGGGCCAGCAGCTGGGACCTAAGGCACAGGGCTGGTAGCAGAGTCCCCAGTGTGTGTGGCAAAAGCATATCTCACCAGTGCACAGACCCCAGACCTAACAGCAGAGCCCCTGGAGCATGGGGTGGCAGCTGAGTCCCATGGTGTAGGGCTATCAGCAGAGCCCGTGGTTCTTGGAGAGGCAGCTGAGTCCCTGGGTGGTAGGCTGGGAGCCTGTAGGTGCTGCAGCACCTTGCACACTGCTAGTTCCTATATCTATGTCCAAATTGCCAAGTGGGAAGCTCACCATAAAAAACTGGTCATGAGGCAGCTCAAAAGTGTGTGTGTGTGTGTGTGTGTGTGTTCACTGCAGTCCTGTTGTCATGTATCTATACGAAGGTCAGGTGGCCCAGTGATCCATACAAAGGCCTGTGAGGATTGTGTGCTTCAGTAAGATCCCATGAAATCAAGAGCATTTGTTATGTGATGCTTTATTTTCTGCAAATGGGAGTGGGGAAATCCTACTCCTGCATCAAGAACTTGACCTCTGTGATATAAAGATAACCCTGCAAAGGTTTCCTCCCCCCACCTCCCGGAAACTGACCTAATGGGTTTTCCCAGAGCAAAGAATAATAAGAAATATACTACACACTCATCTCACAAATATCCAATTTCCTTTCCCAATTGCTGTCCCAGACCTACTTAACTTTGGCATTAACAGAACCCCTGGGTGAGTGTCTGGTTATGTGTACCCCTCTGTGCTGTTCCACAGAGAATGAGTCTGTTACACCCCCTGCTTGAGAGTCTTAGGTCTTAAAATCGAGCTGCAGCTGCTCATGTGTTTTAGCTCTGGAGGCTGTATCTCAGTTCATGGTGTACTGGCCAGGAGGATGCTGTCAGATGTAGGCTTGTTCAGAATTTGAATTACTGTGACATCTGATGCTTGGGATGAGCTTTCTTTGACCAGAGAAAGTATGTAACCTGCTGATGAATGTGTGTTAGAGGTCTTCTTCTGTGCCCAATCCACAGAGGATACGAATCTGCTACATTAGCTCTCACACGTTCTCCATCTAGAATTATAGATCTGAATATATGTTCTTCTTCGTTCACTCTCCTTTAGTAATTATGTTCTAGTTTGTGACTGCCTCTTGTCTTTCATTATTTGATTTGTAATTCATAAAATGCATTCAAATGTCCATTTAATAAAAACAGCATTTTACTCATCTTTTATCATTTTTAAAGACCCTCATTATCTCTTTGCATTGCCAGCTCCACCATCTACCACATAGGGGCACTTGTCAGTTAGTGAGTCTTTTCTCAACCTTGCTTTAAATAATGTGCTCTTTATTATGTTGTCCCTGCTGAGTTAAAGAGCTGAGGTGCCCATCATTTCAAAGTGCAAGTACTGAGCTCCTGGCTCCTATATACACCCCAAATTGCCATGAAATGGCAGAAACCAGCAGAGGTAAATGTAATTTTTCCTGGAGTCACTTCTTTTTCTGATTTTACTAGATAAGTCACCTTGTAGTGGTGCTTCCCTATCACACTTTTCTAATTCACTTTCCAGAGTCCTTAGCATCACTGACAGCGTTAACAGATGTGCCTGTCACTGGGAAGTGTTCTGTTGGGATAGCTCCAGAAGCTGAATAAACAGGCAAAAGGCAGGGACTCAAAGCAGTGATTTCCAGTGAGACTCATCAAAGACCAGTGAACAGCTTGCTTTGTGTATGACTCCTGGTTGTTGTGGGGGACTGGTATCGCTACACCAACACTTTCAAAACATGCAACATTGCCGGGGAGTGAATCAGATTGAAATGACAGTGTACAAATATAAAACAATGAAATCCCAGGTTCTGTTGCGATTAGTTAGCTAAAATATCCCAGTGCCAGGCTTTAGATACTTGTCCCTCATCGTCACAGACAAACAGTACAACACATTGTGCTTTGCTTCCAATATCAAAGTTAGAGCCAAACTATGATTGCTGCTCAAGTATGGGTTTTATTTTCTCTTGTGACTTTTATCAGCCCTTGTACATTCCAAATCATCAGGAGAACAGAGATTTAGTAACACATTTTCATTATAATAATGTGTTTGTTTAAATGTTTCACGGCATATCTGACAATGGGGGATGAGTCTGTCACCATTAACCATGCAGAGTCGAACTTACATAGGGGAATGCTCCAACGAGGATGTTGGGATGCCATAGACACACATGTAGCCCCATTGAGACCACCCAGCTGAGGCAAGGCTTATCACTATAACATGAGTAAGTGCAACTTAACTTGAGTAAGGTTGGACAGTCAGGCCAGGTATGATCAAATGCTTGTGAATTGATACACATTGCTTCTGATTAACAAATTAATTGCATAGTCCTCATTTGGTATCAGTAGTACTTGTAAACTGTGCACTTGTGCAGCCACTCAGGAAAGATTCAAATGTTGCCCAGCTGATTAGTAGAGCACCCACAGTTAGGTTTTCTTTCTAGTGGTGATGCACATCCACACATGCTTCGGTGCACATAAAAATTGATTCTTCACATGAATGGAAAGATTACAGGGAATATTGCTTGGTATTTCCATGGGGGGAGAGGGGTGTAGTAATGTGATTGCAAAAACTATATGTGCAAATAATATACTATCTTAGTAAAAGAAAAACATCAGTTTTGCAAATTTCATAAAACCACAGTGGCCAACTTCATAACGAGTAAACATCTCTAGAGTTCAATAGCTGGGTGAAAATTATTTTTCATCTGTTTTTCAAAGGTACATCACTGAAACTGGCGAACGGACAGGACAGTTGCTCCGGTCGTGTTGAAGTCTATTACAATGGAAGCTGGGGAACAGTCTGTGACGATGCCTGGGACATAGCAGATGCACAGGTTGTGTGCAGACAGCTCGGATGTGGCCAGGCCACTGAGGCCCCCATGAATGCCCGCTTTGGTGAAGGCTCCGGAAGTATTCTCCTGGATGACGTGCAGTGCAGAGGGAATGAATCCTCTCTGGACCAGTGCTCACACCAGGGGTGGGGCAGACATAACTGTGTCCACCGTGAGGACGCCAGTGTCATCTGCTCAGGTACTCCCATTGCTATTGTTTTCATGTGAATTGTATTCATGACGAATAACATCCAAACCACCAAATGGGAAGTAGTATTAGTAGTAGCCGTCCTTCAGTCTCAAGAGACCATGGTTGTGCACTCCTGAGAGGAAAAGAATTTACTCAGCTGGTTTTATGGCAGCTGCAAACATGACCTTAGAGACCCACTCCAGAGAGGCAATCTTGCTGCATCTCTCACATTTAATGGTGATGTTTCAACCCTCTGGGCTTTGTCTTCAGTGGGCTCTTTTTTCCTCTGCTAAACTGGACTGCTTCATATAATGCTTCATAACTCTGGAGACCTTTGCTAAGCTGTTATTTGTAATAGTGTTGTTGTGGGGGGATAGGGAAGGTAATGCCACCAGCTTTAGCTTTGCTCCTTTGCCTCTCCCTGACAGCACTCCTGGGAATGGTAGCTATGCAAACCTTTCATGAAGGTTTTTTCGTTTGTAAGTCTTAGACAGCTTGTCTTGCAGTTTTTGTTTCAGCAGTGCAAATGTCCTGAGAGCAATGGCGTTGGCCCTCAACCCCACATTCACATCTACAGTGCCAGCTCTGTGGGTCACATTTTGGGCAGCCTTATGCCCAAACCACTGAAGCTGGTGTAAATCCATAGTTTGTGCACCCTTATGTAAAATCACTAAAACTGGTGTCAATCCGGATTTGCACTTATGTCAGCAGAATTTGACCGAATGGGTCTGATTCTAGTTCCATTTTACACCATTGTAATTCCACTGATAGCATTGTAGTGATATCTGTTTGAAAGGAAATCAGAATTGGGGCCTTATAATCAGCTAGATCACCTACACCAATAAGGCAGAGCATTCAGTTATCAAGATACTGATGCAATTGCAAAGGTATTTGTAGCAAGAGTACAATTATACAATCCTTACAGCTATGTCATTGGAAAGCTTTTGAATCTCCATGCTTTACAGCAAGGACTTGAGAGTTGACAGAATGGCTACTCTGGTGTCAGGGCAGTGGTTCTTCAGCCACCTCTGGAAAAATTTGCCCAAATCTCACTAAATTATGAGCTCACTAAATTATGAGCTTCTGAAGAGAATTATAAACTTCCGAGGCTTCTCCTATAGGAGACTTCCTAAACCATGAAAGAGAGATGTGAATCAGTTCCTCTATCTTTAAAAAACACTTTGAGACACTCAGGCTCTCTCTCTCGCTCTCTCTCTCTTTTTTTTTTTTTTTGCTTTGCTAGGTCCTCTAGGTACCATGGAAATGCCTATTGTGGCCTTTAACCCTTTTCTCAGCCTTGTTACCATTTTTCTTTTATTACATGATCCTTTTTTATACATCTGTTTTAAAGGTACCATATAACTTCACAGAACAATATTCTGCCTTCAGTTCCAGGCACCCAGGAATCATAACATTACGAGATAGGAAAGACTACTTTTAGGTAGTAGGTGTTTGATCCAACTCCAGCTTTGTGACTTCAAAGGGATTTGGACTGGTCCCTTGTGAACAGTATATTTGCTAAGATTTTGCTCTGTTTTGTTCGAAATTTTCTGAGTGATGAGGTCCCTAGCACTTCATTGGACACTAATTCCACAGTTTTTCAGACCTCATTCTTAGACATTTTTTTCATGTTGTTTAGCCATTTAGCCAGCATGTACCCTTTCTTAAAATTTCATTCCCTTCTGCCACTTTAAATCATTCCTCTTCTTTTTTGGTGTTTGCACCATTCAGATATTTGTAGGCTGCCTTATTCCTAAAGGTATCTGTGACTTAGTCAACCTGTGGAACTTAGTATGTCTACACTACAAAGTTAATTCGAACTAACAGACATTAGTTCGAATTAACTTTGATAGGCGCTACACAGGCAAACTGCTAGTTCGAACTTAATTCGAACTAGCGGAGCGCTTAATTCGAACTAGGTAAACCTCATTCTACGAGGACTAACACCTAGTTCGAATTAAGTAGTTCGAATTAAGGGCTGTGTAGCCACTTAATTCGAACTAGTGGGAGGCTAGCCCTCTCCAGCTTGCCCTGGTGGCCACTCTGGGCACCACCAGGGAAACTTGTCTGCCCCCTTCCCGGCCCCAGAGCCCTTAAAGGGGCACGGTCTGGCTACAGTGCCCAGGCCAGGTGCAAGCCTGCCAGCACCCAGCCAGCAGACCCTGCACCTGGCATGGCTCCACCCGGCCCCCCGCCGGCACCCCACCCCCCC